GGCGGCGGCGAGTCGCCTCGGGTGGCTGTTTTCGGCCGTTTTCGGCCGTTTTCGGCCGAATTCGGCCACGCTCGCATTGGTCCTTGTCAGAAAACAACCCTAGGGCCCTCGGGGGGCCAAAAAATCACGGAAAAACGGAGCTTACCGGCGGCGGCGCTCTCGGGTGCAGCGGCTCTCCGGCGAGGTTCGTGTTTTGGTGATTCGGCTCCGGTCAACCTGTAGAGAAAAGAATGGTGATCACGGTGATATAAAAATTGCATCGAACGGAGGCCGGGAAGGGCCTCGTCGGAGGCAAAAACCGAGAGGGGGCGCGGCGGCGCCGCTGGGCTTCGGCCGCGTATTCCGGCCGTTTGGCCGGGATTTCGGCCTCGATTTGGCCATAGGAGGAATCAGCGGGGAAAAACGAGTCGGGGGTATGAAATTTACCTCAATCGGCGGTCGGAAATTTCCCCGGTGCGGCGGCGAGTGGCGGCGGGTGGCGGCGGTCGGCCTCTGGTTCGTCTTCTCCGGCGAGCGGCTGGCGGCTAGGGTTTTTGGTCTGGTGTGGAGGTTCTATTTATAACCCCTTGCCTTTTGATCACAGCCGTTCGTTTCGTTTTAATCTGGGCCGTTCGTTTTTGATTGAATCTGGGCCGTCCGTGCGTTTGAATCTGGGCCGTCCGATCGCGTGATTGATCTGGGCCGTCGGATCGCACCCACGCGGATCGCCAACGTGGCTCCTTTCGGAGTGACGCGATCTTGCCACGTGGCAGGCCCTGGTTGGCCGGGCCTGCTGACGTGGCTGCTGACGTGGCACCTTTTTTTTTTTTTTTTTCTCCTCCTTTCCGGGTGCTACATCTCGGCCTTTCCCTCGGATGAACATCAACACCGAGGACGACCACTGAAGATAGTTACTACCATTTAGTCGATGGCCAGTAACGAAAGATGGAACCTGATCAGCCAGAGCATGGCGGTCAGGCACCCGAAGGTGAGAGCCCAAAAGAACTTTGAGCGGAGAAGGGGTCTGCTCATCCATTGCCTATTGAATGCAGGAGAGATGCTGAAGAATTTGGATCAGGCTTGCTTTGATACCATGAAAAACTTGAGAATAAGAAAAACTTCTCTTTCCTTCTCACTCTTATTTTATTCATCGATAATCAGCAAAATTTTATAGGCAAAGGAATGAAGAAAAAGACAAAAACTAACAAACTTCCCTAATGGAAGGGAAAAAACAGCACAACTTGGCAGTAACTATTTTATTATATTGTCAGGTTGTAAAAGACAGAAAAAGAAAAAATACAGAAAAATAATTCTACAATAAACATATTTGTATCGATCAGGTGTCTCTGGTCACTAAAACCTTAAAATTTATGTTGACTAAACCACTAAACCACTAATCTCAAACAATTATACATGCTCAAATTAGTAAAAATAATAAATACAGTAAAAGATTAGACAAATCAATTTTCAAAACCATTTTCTGAAGTATACTCTGTGTTTGAGAGTCAAGAGAAATGAACACTACTTGTGTAGTAATTAGCCATCACATTGTCACTTTTTATCAGAATTCATTCACCAACCTAACTCAAGCAGTGATTAATGTCCAAATATCAGTACCCATTGTTAACAGATGGCTAGCACTCTGCTTGTCTACTGGTCCATTGTACTTTGAAATTAATTGTTCCTTCACTTTCAGGTTTCTTATTTTTTATGGTACTTGTGCAAAAATTTTCAGTTGGCAACAAAAGAATCCAAGGCTTGCTCTAAGTAAACAATCCCATTATGCTGCATGAAGTTATTTTCTTTTCTGGGGGGAATGGGTGAAATCACCCTACAGTTTCTGTTATTGCCATGAAGATCAATACCAGTTTATCAAGGAATAAGCATATTCATATACAGATGAATTTTGTAGCATTTCAAGGGATAGCTCTCTCAATAAAGCAAATGCATACCATACTCATAACCGCTAAACTTCTTGTATAATTTGTCCTCCTCTCCAGCCACACCTCAGATGTGCGACTTTTCAACCAAAGTACCTATCATAAAGGAAATTTCTGCACACTCAGATCTAAAAAAGAATACAAATAAGAATGCACAATAAAAATCTGAAAGACTGCATACCCTAGCTAGATCATTTCCCTCAGTATTTTGCAGAGCATATTCAAATACTTCCACTTTTGCTATAAGTGGTAAATGGTCATAGTCCGGAGCAAAACTTAGCATATATTTATGCTCTTGATTTAATGTGATCTGAAAGGAATTGGCCGATTTGAGTCACTTAATGTTACTTCTATTAAATATCATACCGGAAATAACCATGTACAAGCAAAATAAAACTAAACAAACCTTTCTAGCATCTCTATACTCTCGAATTAGATGATGTAAAGTGTCACAATTTGGAACCCATCCAATTAGCCCACTGTTTGGAGATAGTGGAATTACAGCATATCGTTGGATAGAAAGATCCTTCTCTGCAGTTTTTCTAGAATTCGCCAGCAGAGTGTTCACTAGACCAAAAAGCTGACACAGAGCATGAACACTAAGAGAAATCATTTCTTCTGAATAAGAAACAAGTAGGAGATAATTACCATTCTTAGTTAGACTACATTTTGAAATGCTGTAGGATTAATAATAGTGCACCCATAAACTGACTGTTCAAGAAATAAACAGAATAAAAGTTTTGGCAAACGGCAATCTAGAACTAATTTAGATTATAATCAATAATTAGTCAGCTAACAACTACTACACAGAAGGGTTTCACCATCCAACAACTACACTAGAACTTCAGTTCTCTACAACAAAATAATGCATTTGGCTCAGCTTAACCTCAGGAAGAAAACCATCAAGCCTCATCTTGAACTCGAGTTTAATTCATAAAAATTATTTTTTATATAATAAAAAATACATCACACAGTATGCATGTAGAATACATGTTTACGGTAATTGAACATTATGTATACATATCTGTTAAGCCTATTGGACATATTTGTGAGCTTTTGAACCAAATTTTTTGTGAGTTTTTATCAAGCCCATCAAGATAAAAGAGTTTAAATTCTATTAGAAAGATGGTTAAACCGATGTCTAATAGATTCATTAAGATAAATAAGACTATGCACAACCTTGAATTCAATTCAAACTCAGTTAACCAAGATAGAGATAATGTCAAATCCCAAACTACAGAAAACCTATGCACCTAATCTCTTTTTCTATCAGCTCAATTTCTTTTGCCAATTAACATATAAGAGCAGCCAAAACATAGGAATATGATGTACAATAGAGAGAACACCTGCATGACACGTTCATCTTGGCGTAGATCTTCATGTCCCTTCAGTAAGAAGGCATAGTCCTCCCCATCACTTCCATGAATTGTCAATTTCCGTGGTCGCTGTTTTGATGTTATAACAACAAGCTGGGTTGCAAATGATGCTATTGTCACAACAGGTGCTTCTGAAATTTCAGAAAAGGTGTAGAGCTTATTAGGAGAACTCAATTTAATATCAAAGTAGACTTGTTAAACAATAATTATATTCTACCTGCACGATATGTCCCGGGAACAGCAAGCTCCAAATTACGGCATTCCAACAACTCAGGAGAAACAGACTATTCAAATATAGAGCAGAAGTTAATATCATTATAACAATGGGTTACAAATCAGCCTAAACAGATTTTCTTACTTGCAAATCCAAGGTGGTAAGACTCTGGAGCTGTTTGTCAATTCTTTTGAAAACATGGTAGTAGAGATCCCATGCCTAATAAAGACAATATACAATTTAGCACCAAGATTTTGTTGCAGAGCAAAGAAGCTACACTTAAACAGTTCATGTGCCCAAATCAGTGTTCAGAAACTGTCATTGTTGAAAAGGAGAATATGCAGAAAACACATGAGTTTTTTTTTTTTTTTTGTAGTACATAATCTAGAGGATAATGTACATGGCCACGCATATAACATTGCGCTCCTAAGCTGGTCTATGTTGGAACATGACATACCACATATCAAGAAGGAAACATGCAAATGATAAGAGTTCTGGTTACTAAATGCTCGATTACAATAAATGGAAGTAAAAAGAATACTGAAAAAACACAAAAAGAACCCATGACAAAAAGTGAAGGATAAAGACAAAGCACCAAAGTGAGGCTAAGTGGGCAGCAGCTAAGATCAGAAAATGTTACATACCATAGTGAAAACATGTAATAAAGAACAGCTAGCACAGGAAAAGGAATGTAAAAGAAAATTAGAAAAAAGATTTCCAATCCAGGAAGTTCAAAAAGACCAAAATACAAGAAATGGAAACTTCAACTTAATGAAATCAAAAATCAAATAGGCAAGGAATGCCCAAGCCTTTGCTCAGATGTCACATCTCACACTTTTTTTTGAAAAAAAAAATCCTGAGATGTCTCAAAACTTTGGGTCTAGGTGAGGGAGCATAGAAGTAAATCAATTTATATAAGGAAGAGAATTTTTTTTTAAATCTAATTCCATCTATAAAGTTATTTTGATCCAATTATTTTGGTTTTATATGTCCTCTTCAAGATACGCATGTAAAGGAACACCCTAAATAGATTGGGCATTTCTGGCATCAACAACCGAGTTTCATGAATTAGTCAAGGCTAAAGTTAAAATAAGGAAATCGCTAGTAATATTCCGAACTTTTGTGGTACCTGGGTGAGTTCAGCGTCTTTTCCAGTTCTTTTATACTGCACGCAACATTCATAGGCCTCTAATAATTCATGGCGGTATGCCTGCAATGAAATGCACATTACTAAAGCATATAAAGTGCAACAAACTCCACCACTGTGACCTGAATGCTAACACAAGTATTTCAAACAAAGAAAAAAGACAACAAGAGATGTTCAAGGCGAGAAAAGGATGAAACCAAAAATCTTCAGTGTCAAACGTAAAGACAAAATATTTGCACAGCACGGGCTTGAACTTGTTTATAAAATAAATTCTGATAAAGATAAGGTAAGAAAGAATCCAATCAAGATTGCTGATACATGTTAGCATTTCTTAATTTTCTAGAAAAAGGGAAACCCAAACAGGTTACAAAGAATAATCAAGACTGCAGCAAGTCAAAGACCTGACAGGACAATTCTCCAAAAGCCAAAAAGATTTGTCGCACAAAACACCAGATACGATTTCACGACCAAACTGGATCATGGAAGAATCAATTGGATTCTTCAAGTCCCAGAAATCTTGTGCTCAAAACACAACTTGCTTTTCCATTCCCAACATGGGCAGTTCTTTAGTTTTTCTATTTGGATCTCAGGTGACTTTTGCCAAAGATAGGAGAAAATTAAATGGAATTATAACCCCAACGAGACTCTGAGGATTACTGATTTTATTGTGATTCAATCTCATTTTTAAAAACAAGAATAGTTAAGAGGTTTTAAGTTTGACCATGCAATGCTCTCAAAGGAGAACCAATTGAAGTTTAGGCATCTATGAGACAACAAAACAGCTTTGTTTATGGCTTCCTTTTGTTACTAAAAAATATCCAACAAAGAAATTTAAACCTAATCTCAGTGTACTTGACCTGCATTAAGTTCTACACAACTTTGAGACAACTATATAAGCATTAATATGAAACAAGATAAAACCTCTATGAATGCTCTCTCTTTTATGGTAGTATTTTCCCTCATAGCCCCTTCCTCAAGCATCTCATGTAACGGTTCCAACACTTTAAGCATCCCTTCAATGTTATGTTCACCAAAATACAGACGACTAGCTTCTTCCAGTCCCTCATGCCACATTTCATGCCAAAGTATAGCAACCCTGATTAGTTCCTGAGATACAAGTTGTGCCTGTATAAAAGTAACCAATATATTAGATCAACAAATACACCAAAGAATTAGATATTTAAGTTAATTAACCCGCCTACCTGATCCACAAGCACGCCACTGTGCTGCTGAACTTTGTCTACAACTTCTTGAGCAGCAGCTCTCCGTAAATTGCTTATTGATTTACATGCAACAAGAAGAGGATACATAAGGGCCTGTACAAGGAATCAAATTAGTTTAGTGAGGAGGAATTACATAGCATGTTCAATTAGAAATGTATAGCCTCCAGTAGCACTAATAATAACAGTTAAAAATGAAAAATAATTTAAGTGAGTTTGTCCTATACGGACCTGGGGATGACTTTGTCCTATGTTAAAAATATTTCATTCTCTTAACATAGAGAAATCATCAGAACCATACCTGGGGATGACTTTGTCCTATACGGACCAAAAGTGATTGTATCAGTTCCCTCACAGCACGGTTATTTGAATGTATTCTGGCAATTATTTGAGGCAGAACAACAAGCCATGTATTGATATTAACATGTGCAAATCCTCTCTGTAATGCAATTTGAACTTCAGTTGTAGCCCCATGATTGAACCACAATGTGAGAAGGCGAAGTATATCCTGCAGCAATGCAAATATAGGATTCTAGATTAGGAAAGTAATAATGGTGTGAGATCCGTGTAATCCTAGATTTTGTTGACTCCTATATAATGGGGATTCTCGGCTATTCAAGAACCAAATCCTTCAAGATTTCCTCCCAAATTCTATCCTTATCTTAACTAATTAAGGATAGAAAGTTAGGGTTTTTTTGTGTAATCCTTCCCCTATATATTTTTGTATTGTTCTCTATTATAATACAATAGAAAAATTATGAAAAATAATCTCAGAAAACTACATGATATCAGAGCAGGGCACAACAGAAAACTGCCCTTCGTTGAAACCCAAATCTCATGACCAAGTACGCCATGAACAAGTCTTCGTCCGAGGTTACCTCAAATCCTGAAAGAGTAACAATCAGGAATTCTCATGGAGGATCAGAAGAACAATCTATCCTTATCATCAGTTGCAAACTTAACGGCCACAACTACCTTCAATGGTCTCAGTCTGTGATGATATACATCTGCTGAAAAGGAAAAGATAAGTACCTTATAAGCAAAGTAATAGTCCCAAATAAACATCATCCCGACTTCAGGGTCTAGAAAATCGAAAATCACAAGGTCATGACATAGCTAATCAACTCCATGGACAATAAGATAGGAGAAACTTTCTCCTGTTTGGGACAGCAAAGGAAACTATGGAATGTTGTCAAAGAAAATTACTCAAGTTCTGAAAATACTTCAAAACTATTTGAAACAGAAGCCAAACTATGTGACTTGCGTCAAGGTGACCTCAAAGTTACTCAATACTTCAACACTCTTTCCTGGTATTGGTAACAACTGGACATGTTTGAGACTCACGCCTGGAAGTGTTTTAAAGACAAAAACCTATACAAGATGATGGTAGAAGAAAAGAAGATCTTTAAGTTCTTACTTGGTCTCAATAAGAACTTAGATGAAGTGAGAGAAAGATTGATGGGAACCAAGCCTCTTCCAAGTTGTAGAGAAACATTATTCGAAGTTCATCAAGAAAAGAGCAGGAAAAAGCTAATGATGGGAACTCAAGATACCACACCCATGTCGGAGGGATCAGCCTTGGTGACCTGATGATCCCACTCAAATCACATCAATGAAAACTGAAAGGGAAATTTTCCTTGATGTGATCACTGCAGAAAAATCAGGATATTTGAGGTAAAACTGCAGGGAAATTCATGGTAAACCCACTGGTTGGAAGCATACACACAGCAACAAAGACAACCAAGTCTATGCTACTTTCGTAGAAGGAAAAACATCCTCAAAAGAACTCCCTTCAGTAAAAAGCAGCTAGAGGCACTACAAAAACTCCTCAATAAAAACATCTTCCATCAGTCTTCTGCTCTCTCTCTCTCTGAACCGGATTGACAGCCCAAAGAGGTAACAATTCCACTGCCTTGTTTGCTAACACAAAACATCCTCATGCCTGGATTGTAGAATCTGGTGTTCAGATCACATGATTAGAAATATCAAACTAATCCATCAATACAATCCCAGCAAAGAAAGCTACAATATTAGAATTGCTTATGGTTCCCTCTCCAAGGTTGGAGGCTCGGGGTTATTGAGAATTATAATAGAGGATTTGACACTAAAATCGGATTTATATATTCCTGACTTGGATAGCAATCTTCTTTCTATTAGTAAATTGATCAGTGATCACAATTGTGAAGCTAAATTCTTTCCTTTCATGTGTGAATTTCAGGAGTTGAAATAAGGGAAGATGATTGGCAGCTTAGATGTCTTCTAGACTCTTACCTCTTCAAAAAAGATCATTCTCTCAGAAATCAGACCCAAAATGCCAGCATGTCCTATAGGAGCTGGATAGACTTCTTGCAATAAGGAAAATGAGGTTACATTTTGGCACTATCGACTAGGTCATTCGAATTTCACATACCTTGAAAAGATTATCTACACACGGAGAAGGAACAATAAAAGGGAGGTAGAGCATTCAACATGCTTCATCAATGATCAAGAATTGAAACCACCTCTAATTCACAATCAGCATCAAACAGGTAAGGAAACTTTTGGTCTTGACACTACACCAAGAATGGATGACTTCAACATTCCATTGGCTCTAAGGAGCAAGAACTTGCACAAACTATCCCATCAGCAAATACATTTCTTATAATGGATTATCTCCATCCTACTGGCTTTTGTATCTACCCTTAACAATGTGCATATTCTCATTCCATCCAAGAAGCACTCAAGTATCCTAAATGGAAACAAGATTTTAGAGATAAAATTACAGCATTCGAGAAGAATTGCACACTGGTGATTTCTGATCTTCCCCTAGAAAGGAAATTGTTAACTGTAAGCAGATCTTTACTACAAAGCATACGGCCGATGGGAGCATTGAGAGACTAAAAGTCAGGCTTCTTGCAAAGGGACTCTCTCAATCATATGAAATAGATTATCAAGACATCTTTGCTCCAATCACCAAAGTCAATATTATAAGGGTTCTTCTTTCCCTTGCAGCAAGCCTTGATTTACCACTGAACCAAGTTGATGTCAGAATCCATTTATTTCTAAATGGAGATCTTGAGGAAGAGGTGTACATGAACATTCCTCCAAGACTTGAAATTAACTTCAACATCAACAAGGTCTGCAAACCGAAAAGAAAAAAAAAAAAATCTCTCTATGGCCTAAAACAGTGTCCCCCCAAGCTTGGTTTGGGAGATTCATGAAGTCGATGAAAAAATCGGATACATCTAATGTCAAGCAGAGCACACTCTCTTTGTGAAACAATCCTTAGAAGAGAAAATTATTATTATCATAGTATATGTTGACGACATCATACTCATGGGTGATTATGAAGAGGAACACTTGAAGCTCAAGAACTTTCTGGCAACGAAATTTGAAATAAAAGATCTTTGCAATCTAAAGTTCTTCCTAGGTATGAAGATGACAAGACCAAAGAAGGGTATATTCATCTAGCATGCAACAACACCCTATACTTACTAAAGGAAACTAGAATTCTAGAATGTTAACTCAATAATACCCAATGGGTCCAATTAAAAGGAGAGGAAATGAGAAGGAAAATAAACCAATAGACAGGGAAAGATATTAGAGGCTTGTAGGTAGACTCATCTATCTTCTCCATACCAGACCAGATATCAGGTTTTCAATTAATGTCGTAAGTAAATTCATGCACAACCCAATTGAGGAACACATGGAGATTATATACAAGATTTTGAAGTACCTCAAGATGACCCCAAGAAGAGGATTACTTTACAAGAAACAGGTCACCCAGAACATTTTTGTTTTTTTCTTATGCAGACTGAACAGTAGATATGAAAGATAAAAGATCCACTTCAAGATACTGTTCAGATGTCCGAGAAAACTTGTTTCGAGAAGTAATACTGAAGTTGAATTTACAGAATTAGCATTAGGAATTGTAAAGCTACATGGATAAAGAGACTCCTTGGTTAACTGGAGATAATCACTAAGGCACTTATCAATCTATGCTGTGACAACCAGACTGCCACAAATATAGTGAAGAATCCTGTGCATCATAATCAGACAAAGCACATAGAAATTGATTGTCACCTCATTTTAGAGAAAATTGAAAATTTAGTAATTCAAATGACCTACGTGCCTACAGAATCATAGACTGCTGATATCCTCACTAAAGCTTTTCCACGAACCACCTTTAAAGAACTCTGTAGCATCTTGTGTTTGTTCAATATTTACAACCTAACTAGAGGAGTATAAGACTTCTAGATTAGCAAAGCGAAAATGATGTGGGATTCCATGTAATCCTAGATTTGGTTGACTCCTATATAATGGTGATTCTCAGTTATTCAATAACCAGATCATCCAAGATTTCCTCCCAAATTCTGTCCTTTTCTTACCGAATTAAAGATAGAAAGTTAAGGTTGCTTGGTGTAATACTTCCCCTATATCTTGTTGTATTGCTCATAATACAATAAAATAATTCTGAGAAGTAATCTCAAAAATTACAATAAAGATATGTAAGAACAACATTGGAACTAAGACATGTAATACATATACATATGCATGAAAGATATGAAAAACACATGCCAGAGGAAATAGACTAAAGCACCGCAAAAACATAAGTTTTTTATTTCACGTTGACAAAAAATCACTTGCTTAACTAGCATGAGACCTACCTTCTTTTTTACTAATAAAAAATATATATTGTCAAGGAAAGAGATTATAAGGAACAAGGACAAGATATCCTCTCACTAAAAGAAAAAAAATTCAAAAAGAAAATGAACTAGAAGCGTCCGCTGAATTAATATTAGACAAGCTATCTCAATGAAAAAAAAAATAGACAACCCGAAAAAACCAATGTGCCAAAGCCCCATAAAGAGGCCCTAAATAGCATTATGTCCCAACTAATAAGGGATAATAAAAATAATGAATAGGTGTCCTAGCATTAGATTCTAACTACAAAACCCAACACCCAGCAAAAAGTGCCTTCCTCTACTACACACTATGCTTCTTACTATGTATCGAACCCCTCAAATAGACACAAGAAGAAGCACCTCAAGATTTTGTGCACAAACCCAACACTCCCCAAGAGGTCAAACAACTTATTCTCAAACCATCTTGGAATCCATAAAAGGTGGCTATTAGCCTCCGGAGCCCTAGAGCATATCAGAGAAAGATATAAGTAAATAGCTCTACTTGGCAATTTTCTCGGAAGCAAGTCATTAGTGTCAATCAAATTAACTACGTGGCTCAGATAAAGACTCCGGCTTTTTAAGGAACCTCTACCCTCTAGAAAGAATTAATAAATTAGTAGCAATAGATTTACAAATAAAGAAGGTGAGAAACGATTACAAGACAATGGAGTTGAAGATTCTTGTGTAAGTTCTCTTTTCTGAAAAATAAAAAATAAAATTGTTACGTATGTATTACTTACAAACATCAAAGGGGTGCGAAATCCATTCACAAATGAATTTACTTTTCAATTAGCATATCAATTAAGTCACCAAAATTCTCAAAGGAATACTAGTTTTGTTTCATAATCAACAAACCAACAGATTGGAACCATGTCTCTCTTGTTTTGTCAATGCCTTCTTTAACTCCTTCAAAAACTCCTCTATCCCTCTATTTCCAAATAACCCAAAAAATGACCAACAACAATATCTTTCCAAGCCCAAATCTCATTCTTGATCTTACCCGCCAACATCCAATTGTACCTAATATCCCAAAAGTCATAAACCATAAGTTATATGATATAGGACACTGAAGAAGAATGCGATCACAAGTCTCCTCTATGTTCTTGCAAAGACAACACCAGTTCATCAAAGTCCTTCCCCTCTTCATAAGCTTATCTATAGTCAAAATAGTTCCACCAACAATCTCCCAAATGAAAATAGCAATTCTAGGAGGTGCATTTAATCTCCAAATCTATTTAAACGGAAAATTTTCTTCAGTGCCCCCACCCTTGGTTAGATGATTACAGAAAGACCTCACAGTGAATTGATCCGCAGAGCCTAGATTCCACAAAGGTTGATCATGATCCTCATTGAGAGAAACTAAAGCTAAAACATGTAACTATGATTCATACTCTTCAACCCATTAGGTGAACGATCCACCACCAGTTTACTGCAACCTATTAGTATGTTTGACCCATTTGATATATACAAATACACGTGCCTATGCATAATCAGATATGTGTAGACATATAATAAAATATACATATATTTTGCACAAGAAAAGAATTAGGATCCTACCTTCTTCCTTCCGCTCCTTGACCTATTATTAAATGACCCATTATTAATCTTTATTTCAAATAAGCTCACAAAGGGGCTGAGAAAACAAATCTGTCTGTTGCTCATAAAGATAAATCCATATTCTTTGGCCTACACCATTCTCGATGAGGTGAAGGGGCATCAGCCTTTAAATATTTTTTTGAAAAGTTAAAAGTGCATCAAAATTGCACCAAGAGGGTGCAACCCGTAAAAAAAAACTACTTACATTTTCAACAACATATTGATAAGGTCCCATTTTCATCACACGAATGCAATGGTTGGCTGCTAAATAAAAAATTTAGAACCTAGAACCGCGAATTCTTAAATCTATTTAAAAAAAATCCGGTCCCTTCAAAAGTCATTCTATTTTTCTCTTTTGAGATTGCCCAAAAGGTAGCGAAAGGAATACCCTTAAAGATTGCTTATTCCTCTAAATGTTGTTACAAGTCCACAACTCAAGTCCAACTCAGATAACCGTTGGTTCTCCATGTGCTTACCCTCTAAATGTTGTTACGGTGCCAGCAATGACCCAACTCAAACCCAAAAAGCTATAAACCAAACCCCAAAGGCGGTGAACAAACGAGTGCTGAAGGAGAATGTGGTTGCACGTCTCCTCTCCAATCTTGTAGAAATAGCATCCACTCACCAGGATTCTCCCCTTTTTTATCAGCTAGTCCAACATGAGGGAGACATGTCCCCACCCAAATTCAAAGGGTAAGCACATGGAGAACCAACGGCTATCTATCGTTCTCTAAGTTTTTCTCTTTCTAAAAGAGTTTAGCAAGAAAGTGATATTATGTGGGGTAAAGTATAGATAAATGATCCATGTAATTTGACATTGCAAAAGAGCAAAATACCATTTCAAATGTGCCAATAAAACTGTGATATCTTAATGCCTTCAAACAAGCAACAATCAAAAACTAACATGCGAGGGAATCAACCACTCATATTAGTGAGAAATATCGGGATTATAGTAATCCATGAAGAGGTTAATAAAGAACTGAGAGACAGGAGCAGAGTTAGTAAAAATTGTTGAGGTGATTGAACGGTACCATAGTAATTTGACTAAATGATATGATACAATGATCATGCACCACACAGATGAAAACAAACAATTGAATATTTATATTTCAATAACCTCAAGTATCAGAAATATTCATCCTTTACCTGTAAACTATCATCTACACCTTTGGCATTGGCCGCACATGCTATTGAATGAAAATAACCAGTGACTGCTGCAACAACAAATTGAGAAGCAACAGTTGGAAAACCTCTAATTGTATAATGAGACATTACTGCGGTGTTGAACAATGCCCATTTGTGCCATGCTTTAGCCCATTTTGGAGCACAACGAGTAGCATTCTTAAATGCATCAAGGATTTCTACAAAACAATGGAACATATAGTATGAAAAAAGGTCAATAACATTACAAATTAAATATACACATTAACATTAGCAATTAAATATACACATTACAAGTAGAAAACTACCTTGAATGGAATCATCATCCATTCCAGGAAAAAGTATCCATTGCCAAGCTCCAAGTCTAAGATACACACGGGCAAGTAGTGGAACATTCACACCCATGCCAGTCATTAAACCAGATGACGTATCAGACTGAATATTTGGGGCACTTGAGAGCTCTATGGCCAAGTTCTACAAAAGTGATTTGAGAGCCAAGCAAATACTTTGTGTGAAAGTAAGAACTTAATAAGAAAAGGAAAAGAAAAGACAAGTATTAAGGAAGGAATGGGTAATAAGACTCCCAAAAAAGCTGTGTTAAGAACCATTTTCACAGAGTATAAATTGAGGTTTATATAATTGAAACAATAAAAAGTAGCAAGACATACCTGCAGCCTAGCAAATGTTTCCTTTCGTTTCAGATCCTCCCCAAGGGACCATTGGTATTTTAGGTATGCGAGCATCACTTGAGGAGGCCCATGGTATCTTACATTTTCAGGACATGTCTCAGGATCATACTAGACATCATTTGAAAAGAAAAAAGGAACAAAAAGAATATAAAAGGTCAAACTATGCAACAAAGAAAAATTTATACATAAAAAATAAAAGTAACAAGGAAAAAGCAAACTATACTCCAAATCACCATCCCTGGGATTCTGAAAAATTACTGCCACTGACCTGCAGGAGTTTAATTAAAGTAGATCTAGCCTGGCTAAGCCTCCCATTCTGACGACAAAGAGAAGCAAACTTGAGCCAAGTTTCAATATCTTCCGTAGGAGGTAGCACAAGAGCTCTAACACCCAAAAGTGCTTGCCAGACCTGCTCAAGCATTATAAGCAAAGATTAAAAGGAAACAGCAAATAAAAATCATTAAAAGGCCTAAAGAAGAAGCAACAAATGCTAGTCTAATTACAAAGGAAAGAAAAGTCTGACGTCTATGCATTTGTATAGCGTTACCAAAGTCAGAACCGTAAAGCAATGCAAAATTTTGATAAAGAAAAGAAAAACCCAATCAACCATGTGCTAAACATAAAAAGTATCAAATCTACCTATCTGCCCATCTTTTACCTGGTTAAAGTTAATATATGGAGCTTACTAATTCACCATGCATGTAAAATTTGCTTAGCGATCTCAAATTTCGCTAATCACCTTCGAAATACAAATCAGCGACAACACTGCAAATTAATTGGCAAAATGTTTGGATTTTCCACATATTCCAAATGCCAAAACTTCAAAGTTTAGCAGAACAACTCAACTTCAAAAAATATAAGAATGAAAATTGACACCTTTTGAATTTCTTTCATCCGTTAAACAAAACATGTCTTAATTGATTCAAAATGATAAAGTGACTACGGGATTCTTGAACATCATCCAGTAAGCACCAAATTTAATATGATCTGATGCATCACAGAATCACATAGAATACAGAACCAGGATATTTTTCAAGAAAATTCTCAAAATAATTAATCACTAATAGTTAATGTTATAAGAAAATTACAAAGGTTTCTATAGTTCTTTTAAATTAACCTGATCTAACCATCACTAGAAATTCTAATAGGACAAACAATTTTTTTTTTTAAATAAAAAGTATAACGTGTATATTAACAAAGTACAAAAACTAGGGTACTGCCTATTTATAAAATATTTACAAAATGCTTAAAGTGTCAATGACATTCCCAAAATCTACTGTTAGGAACCCACTTAAAGTGTAATAAAAAGAATGGTAGATTAGAAAATTCGCACAAGAGACAAAATAAGTAAAAGACTAGAGTTAGGGTTTATCAACCCTAATCATCTCATCAATACCACAGCCGGGGCCTCAGTCATCTTCTTCTCATCCCGCAGTTGACGCGGCGCTCATCATCACCGCGCAATTCTGGCAAGCCGGTTCCCCTAACAAAGACGTCTTTCTTTATTGTATTTAGGCCTATAAAAGGCTTTTTTCTATCATTTGTAAGCATGAATCGAAATCAATAAAAATCTTTATCTATTTCCCTCTTCAAATTCTTCTTCTTCATCTTCATTCTCTTCTTCTTCTTCATTTTCTTTAGATCAAATTGTCATGTCTAAGGCTTCTGACAAGGTGGTATCAGAGCCCGAATTGGCAGAATCCTACGCCAAGATCACATCCTGCACTCAGTCCAAAGGGACGGCAACGACAATTGAGCCGGAGAAACCTGAAACGACCGAACTTTCCGTGAAGGACGTTGATCAGAAACTCACCTCCTTCACGGAAGAAATGAACGAGATTAAGCGCAAATTCCAGCATAAGCTTGAGTACTTGGCAAAGCTGATACGCAGTCGAGCGCCACACCAGGAAAAACTCGGAGAAAGCTCGGCCCATTTGGTGGCTGAAACCCACAACGCAAATGTTTCGTTTTCCCTTCCGAGAAGCGCGAACAGGCTGGGGCCGCTCGGCCCGTTTGGTGGCTGAAACCCATGACGCAAATGTTTCGTTTTCCCTTCCGAGCAGCACGAACAGGTTGGGGCCTTCGACACCCTCAAAAGACCAACTAAAATCAGCGAATCCGCGCGGAGAGGGAGATTTGCTTCCTCTCCTAAGCGTCGGCCATCTCCCTGCTGCTCCACCGAACGGCACGCATGGCACATAAGGGTTTCAACCCTTATTTAGGTCCAGTTCACTGGACCGAACAGGACAGGTGGGGTACGTGGACCGACCTGACCAGAATCGACCCGGGTTAGACCAATCTGACCTGAACCGAATCGGGTCTGTTGCAGCTCGAATTGACCCAAACCGAACCGGCCCAATTGATTCTATGCCCGAAAATGATTCTTCTAAACTTTTTTTGCTTACCAACGTAGAAATTCCACTTTTTGAAGGAATAAATCCTCATGGGTGGGTTCGAATATGTGAAAAATATTTTATAATTCACAATATTTCTGACGAGCAAAAGGTGGCTATTGCATCATTATATTTAAGAGAAGTTTCTGATATATGGTACTGATGGCAACCCAAAGTTAATGTCATAAAATATTTTGTTAAAGAGCTCCATGATAGATTTGGGGGACCATTGCAAAAGATTTCAAAGAGAAATTTACCAAACTATCCCAAACAGGCACTGTTCTCGACTATGTAGAACAATTTGAACACTTATGCTCTCTTATGAGCACAGATAACTCAATACTTTCAAAAAAAAATTTATATCCACCTTTATCAGTAGTCTCAGGCCATAACTACAACCCATGCTAAGATTCCTCAAGTCGCAAATGCTTAATCAAACATTCGAACAAGCCTTACTGCAGGAACAATCTGTAATAGAACTCTCCCAAAAATCATATCCTACTGATAAAGTTGTTAAATTCGCAGAAGCATCTGAAACAAGAAATCATGATCAATCGCTCCGAAGGGATACGGCACCTAGAAGAGCAACAGCTACTTGGTACAAGTGTGGAGACCGGTACTTTCTAGGAAGCTATTGTGCAAATCAATCCGTAATGGCCATGGAGGAAATTGTCACGGAAGGGTCTCTAGAAGAAAGGGTTTTCCCAAATCAACCTTGAGGACAAGGTTGATGCTTAAGTGGAGGGTATTGTCAGGAACCCACTAAGGACGTAATAAAAAGAATGGTAGATTAAGAAATTCGCATAAAAGACAAAATAAGTAAGACTAGGGTTAGGATTTGTCAACCCTAATCATCTCATCAATCCCACAGCCGGCACCTTAGCAATCTTAATCTCATCTCGCGGCTAACGCAACGCTTATCATCACCGCACAATTACAGCAAGCCGATTCCGCCAACAAAGACGTCTCCTTTATTGCATTTAGGCGTATAAAAGGCCGTTTTTTATCATTTATAAGCATGAATCGAAATCAATAAAAATCTTTATCTAATTCCCTCTTCAAATTCTTCTTCTCCATCTTCATTCTCTTCTTCTTCTTCATTTTCTATATATTAGATTGTCATGTCCAAAGCTTCTGACATCCACATCTCTAATAATGTCATGACTTAACAAAATAGTCTCAAAGTAATGTACTCATCTATCTTTTAATATATTTAACCAACATTATTTACCCTCAAAACTCTTGTATTTCTCTCTTTCCAAAAAACCCAGAAAACTATCAATGGGATTAAATTAGCAATGTTTCTCTTAATGCTTAGGCCTTCCCATGCCCAAATTTTCCCACAAAACCGAGCCCGAAACGACCCAATTAATCCCCAGCAGTCCATATACCGAGCATCACAGATTGTATGCAGTGGGGCACCATAACAGAATATGGTTACGACATTCCTCAGCCCATAAACAAAGATGACAGTCATTCACCAGAGTCAAGCCTCTTGATTTTAATTTGTCAGGGTAAGGATTTTCTCCCAGCATAAATAAAATCCTAGGACAAAAAAGATTTAGAAAGCATAAATAAAATCCTAATGCTACCAGGTCCCAATCTTACCCATACTAAAACAAAAATTGTAGATTAGCAAAAAATACTCTAATCAATTTAGAAAAATCTGGTTCATATCAATTCTGCATAACAGAGAACTATGAACTTAATTTAGTTTGAGAAAAACAGCATAGATGACGGGAGAAAGACAGAGCAAGTATCTACCTCGACATTACGTTTGGCTCCTTGAATACGTTGAGTCCACATATTGCGAATTAAAGCACGCCGATCTTCAGCAACAGGATTTCCCAATGGAAGAGTACAGTAATCAATTACCTGATTTGGAACAGCCAACCAGCAGGATAGAAAAAGAAATATCAAGCTTTCATCCAGCAATCAAAGCAGACACAGAAAGCGGGATCCTGAGGAAAAAGTTTTTGAGGATACCTCCTCTAGTTCTGACAGCTGCTGAACACGGACCATATTACTGTAAGCACGTTCATAGCTCTCCAACACCTAAAGAAAAAGACTCGTTTATGCATAACAAAAGAAAGAAAAATAAAAGAAAAATGAAATCTGAGTGACAAAATATCTTGTTTAAATTGCATTTACGTGATTCTAATGTCACCAAGAGCAACCAAAACCAGAATACAAACCATAAAGTTAGGTTACTTTCTATTAGCTAAAACTTGTGAATAATTAGACACTCAACTTAATTATTTCATGTTACATATCTTTAAAGAGAGAAAAAGATTATCCAATTAGCATGAGAGTAAGAGAGTGTTGCCCAAATACATGACGGAAATTCACACATTAGTCAAAATATCAATGATATCATGATATCTTCAGGATCCTCATCGGAAGAATGAATATGCCATTCAACCAAAAATATCTCACACAACCTGATTGTCACTCTTCAAGAAACACTTGTTCACTTTCACCACTTTGTTGTTTGCAACATTAAAATTGGACAAGAATTGTTCACACAAGGATAATTGTCCAGACCAAATAAATTTAGAATATTTCACACATTGACAAGAGCCCACTTTGAAATGCATACAACGGAAGACTTATCCCGAACAAATAATAATGTGTGAGTCAAGCATGATCCTTTAGGAAAAAGGGCAATCTTCATTATATATGTAGATCATATAATAATTACAGGGGATGACACAAAGAAAATACTCATATTAAAAAATATTTCAGCTAAAGAATTTAATATTAAAGACATAAATCTCAGTGAAAATATGTGTTAAACTTCTAAAAAGAGATTGGAAAGCTTGAGTGCAAGCCTACAAACACACTAATGAATCCCAATATTAAACTACGAAATAAAATTAACAATGCTATAGTTGACAAAGAAAGATACCAATATTTAGTGGATAAGTTCATTTATCTCTAACATATCACACTAAATATCAATTTTGTCGTTAGTGTAGTAAATAAATTCATGAATAACCCAATCAAAGAAGTTATGCAGGCAGTGCTTCAAATTCTCAAGTATCTAAAAATGATAGTTGGAATCAGAATTATTTTTCAAGAAAAACAAAAGCTAAGAAATTGAAATATATATTGATACAGACTGGACTGGTTCTATAGCTGATAAAGGATATCCATCTCTAAATACTATACATATATCTGAAGAAATTACTTAAGCGTGCAAAAAGCAGTCAATGGTATCAAGGAATAATACCGATGCTGAATTTAGAACTTTAGCATATGGTATCTAAGAAGGAATGTGCCTACAAGGGGTATTAGGTGAATTGAGAACTCTCGCTTCAGAGCCTATGAAAATATTATATGAGAATCAATCGACAATAAATATAGCAAATAAATCAGTTCATCATGATCGATAAGCATGTGGAGATTAATAAATACTTTGTCAAAGAAAAGATAGAGTCAGAACCACTATCCTTGTGGCACATTCAGTTTTATTATCAAACCACGGATATTTCATTAAGGCATTACCTAGGAAGACTTTTGAAGAATTGAATTCCAAACATAGTTTGCTCAACATTTTTAAACTAACTTGAGGGCTAGTGTAAGAACCCGACTTCTAATAAATGTCTAATTCTTATACAGATTAGTATTTTCAAGTAAATTTCCCTATAAAACATAATCATAGTTGACTTCTATAACTAGAAGATCTTTTCCTTTTGTGAGACTGATTTGTAATGAGTTTTCTACTAAAACTCTCTCTATTCTCATATATATATATATATATATATCCAGCTATTATAAATTAAATATTATAAATAAAAATTCAATAAATAAAAAATTTAATTAGAAATTTTCACTTCACGCATTTTAACTTTATGCTTATCCCAATAACTACTTATATCATTAAATAGAACTAGATAACTAAATAAGAAATAGAAGAAAGTTTTTTGTTGCAGCCATGTGTCACCTATTCTAGCAGCTGTGTGTAAATCATTTCTAGTAACCATGTGGCACATAACAAATGATTATTTGAGTTACTCCACAAATCCAACACTACATAATTCGACTCTTTTAGCAATGATGACTGGAATAGAAAGCCCGAAGTAAAAAGTTTCAAATCCTAGTAGCTCTATTTTTATTCAAACTAAATTTTAACGCAACTACTAACAAGCACGTACTTTGCTTATACTTTTACCCTAGAGGGTTGTGTGTTCAGGTTCGACGTAGAATATAAAAAACTATATTGGGTTTTTTCCTATTATTACTCGATTAAGCATTTGATGAAAATTGATCACCCAAGTCATTTATTCAGTATTAACAATATAACATGCATAACTAGGATTAAAAATTGAAAAAATTAAAGGGTGTTTGGAGCATTGAGGAAATGCATTTGAAGTACAAGTGCTTAATTAGATTAACTTAAGGTATCTAGATTTAGAAAATAGCAATCGCATGTTTAGATAAGGATAATTATTATTTAAACAGAAAAAAAAAAACAAATACTTGCATTTTGACAAAGATTTATAAGTAAGAGTAAATAGATAAGTCAATATAATTATAAAAAAAATAAGTACCATAAGTCAATACATAAGAAGTTTGGGAGAGATGCTCATTTTTCTTCTGGCTAAAGCTACACAGGGATTATCTCATAAGCACCCTACATACTACATCAGGAAACAGACAGATTCAATAATATCCTTACAGATCCTTATAATTACCTAGAACACTTATTTCAAAAAATTATAATAATAATAATAATAATAATAATAATAATCACCTAGAATACAGAACCTTATGATTAGAAATAATTAAGATTTCTTCAATTCACAAGAGCAAGTTAGGAATGATGCACACAAATAATCAATATACAGGAAATAAATGAACGATAAAAAATATATCTTTTAATGAATTCAGAATTAGCAAATTATAAACTCAAGAACTAACCAAGGCTGCAAGTTCTGTTGCCAGGCATTTTCTAGCTCTCTCGACATATTCACGTGCTTCATCATACTGAAACATGTACATATATAATTAAAAAGAAGTAATGCCAACAAACTAGAAAAACAAAATAGTAGTTAATGATAAAATGTACCTTTCCCCGACGAACTAATAAAACGGCCCTGAAGAATGTACCATTACTGCTTCCATCACCACTAGCAGTAGTATTTCCCAAACCCCTAAGTCTTGTTTCATCACCATCATCTAATCGAGATACATATTCTGCCATTTGATCCCACTCACCCATATTCCAAGCGGCATGTGCAGCCTGCACAACCATATGACTAACATAAACATTAACATGTCCAGATATTGCAGCCTTCAGACAGGATAGGAAAACAACCAATGGTGCCATTTCTAGCCGGAGCAGATGGCTCAGCTGGGGTCCA